AATAAATAAATATTTAAAAAAAAAAAAAAAGGAAGGCTGAGCCGGGAGGTGGTGGCGCACGCGCATGCCTTTAATTCCAGCACTAGGGAGGCAAAGACAGGCGGATCTCTGGGAGTTCGAGGCCAGCCTGGTCTACAAGAGCTAGTTCCAGGACAGGCAGCAAAGCTACAGACAAACCCTGTCTCGAAAAACCAAAAAACAAAACTAAAAAGGAAGGCTGGGTTATAGTTCAGTCCTTGCCTAACATGCATGAAGCTCAAGGTTCAGTTCCCAGCCCTGCAGAAACAGCCTGATGATATAAGTCTGTACCCCAACACTTGGAAGGTGGAAGCAGGAGAGTCCAGAGTTCAAGATCATCCTCGCCTACTTTAAGACTTGGGGCCAGCACAAACTGATAAGCATGTACTTGAAATTTGAATATTTGGGGGGTTGAAGCAGAAAAGTTCAACATCATCTTCTGATACACAGGATTCTGAAGTGGATGAGCATATGCCTTTTTTTTAGTGAGTTTTTTGTTGTTTTTTGTCAGGTCTACTGGAATTTGAGTAACAGTTGTGAGCTGTCACATGGATGCTGAGAACTGAACCCAGGTCCTGTGGAAGAGTAGCCAATACTCTTACCCACTGAGCCATCGCTCTAGCCCCCAGTGTGTGCCTTTTTGACGGTACAGTCATTACTCGGTCACATTGCGACTCAAGTGTAGAAGCAAAAGCATATTAACAGGTAGTGTGTTCTTCACAGTTCAGAGAGGTTTTTTTGTTGTGATCTCATTTAAAACTTAATGAACAAAAGTTATACAATATAGCTCAATTACAGCAGTCAGCCAGCTGTTGCCAGTATAAACTGACCACTTGGCAAAGGAAGTCAAGAAGTTTTGCAACAGGAAACGGCAGAAAGGGCATAGTAATTAGGTCCTATGCTCTTCTTCCGAACTGTTTCCGGTTATCTGAAGACAACCAGGAAGTACAGATGCACAACACGAGATCTAGGCCAGGGCTACATTGTGAGCCTCATCTGGACAAAACAAAACAAAGCTTTTATGTTGTAGTGAGAGCCAAGTTTTCTAACTACTAAAGACAAAGTCATAATGACTTGTTCTGTTTCTGTTCCTTGATAGTCATGCCTCTCTGCCATGTGTCTCTGTAAATTGATGTCCATCCTAAGGACAGAATTATGATGTGAAATGCATTCTTGCTTATCATCTCTCATGGCTTACTAGACAGGAAAATGGTGGGATTCTGGGCAAAGTGCCATAAACCAGTAATTTAGGCACTCAAGAGGTGGTGATGAGAGGTAGGGGGTTCAAGGAAAAAATGGTGGCCGTGTGTGTGTGTGTGTGTGTGTGTGTGTGTGTGTGTGTGCTGCTAAAATGTGTAGTTCTCCTCTTTACAGAAGACTGTGGCTCCCATCCTCCTTTGCACCTAGTTTTGCACTGTGTGAGGACTTACCAGAAGTGTCCTTCAGAATGCCTGCTTTTTCCTGCTGGTTAAGGTTAAAAGTGATGGATCAATTTGAGTAATTTTTTTCTCTTTTTGAAATGAAGTCTTAATGTGTAGCACCCAAATTCACAGTAATCCCAGTGCCTCAGCTACTAGAGTGTTGCAATGACAGGCATGAACTACCACCACCTCTGGCTGCCAAGTCACTATTTTTGACCATGAGTTCACACACAAGAAAGAGCAAGGCAATGCCATAGGAATGGCCCAGCTCCCACTGGCCTTGGCGCTGCTGTATCTTCTCTGGACGGATGGACTATTGACTTTTTTTTTATTATTTTTTAATTGATATTTATTGAGTTCTACATTTTTCTCTGCTCCCCCCCCCCCCGCCTCTCCCCTCCTCCCTTAAACCCTCTCCCAAGGTCTCCATGCTCCTAATTTACTCAGGAGATCTTGTCTTTTTCTACTTTCTACTTCCCATGTAGATTAGATCTATGTAAGTCTCTCTTAGTGTCCTCATTGTTGTCTAAGTACTCTGGGATTGTGGTTTGTAGGCTGGCTTTCTTTATTTTTAAAAAACCACTTATGAGTGAGTACATGTGATAATTGTCTTTCTGTGTCTGGGTTACCTCACTCAAAACAGTGTTTTCTAGTTCCATCCATTTTCCTGCAAAATTCAAGATGTTATTTCTTTCTGCTGTGTAGTACTCCATTGTGTAAATGTGCCACATTTTCCTTATCCATTCTTCAGTTAAAGTACATTTAGGTTGTTTCCAGGTTCTGGCTATGACAAACAAAGCTTCTATGAACATAGTTGAGCACATGTCCTTGTGGCATGATTGAGCATCCTTTGGATATATACCCAAAAGTGGTATTACTAGGTCTTGAGGAAGGTTGTTTCCTAATTTTCTGAGAAATCGCCACACTGACAACTGAAGGGGCTGTACCTACCAGCAATGCAGAATTATTCCCTTTTCCCCACAACCTCTCCAGCATAAGTTGTCATCAGTGTTTTTGATCTTGGCCATTCTTTCAGGTGTAAGATGGAATTTCAGAGTTGTTTTGATTTGCATTTCTCTGATGACTAAGGATGTTGAACATTTCATTAAGTGTCTTTCAGCCGTTTTAGATTCCTCTGTTGAGAGTTCTCTGTTTAGATCTGTACTCCATTTTTTATTGGATTATGTGATCTTTTGGTGTCCAATTACTTGAGTTCTTTGTATATTTTGGAGATCAGACCTCTGTCTGATGTGGGGTTAGTGAAGATCTTTTCCCATTCTGTGGGCTGTTGTTTTGTTTTGTTGACCATGTCCTTTGCTTTACAGAAGCTTTTCAGTTTCAGGAGGTCCCATTTATTGTTTCTCTCAGTGTCCTTGCTGTTGGGTTATATTTAGGAAGTGGTTCCCTGTGCCAATGCGTTGAAGTGTACTTCCCACTTTCTCTTCTGTAAGGTTCAGTGTGGCTGGCTTTATGTTGAGGTCTTTGATCCATTTGGACTTGAGTTTTGTGCATGGTGATAGATATGGGTCTATTTTCATTCTTCTACATGTTGATATCCAGTTATGCCAGCACCATTTGTTAAATATGCTTTCTTTTTTCCATTTGATATTTTTTGCTTCTTTATCAAATATTAGGTGTTCGAAGATGTGTGGATTGATATCTGGGTCTTCTATTCAGTTCCATTGGTCCTCCTGTCTGTTCTTATGCCAATACCAGGCTGTTTTCAGCACTGTAGCTCTGTAGTAGAGTTTGGAGTCTGGGATTGTGATGCCTGTAATTGTTACTCTTACCCTCAGCCTTAACCCCTAACCCTAACTGTAACCAGCCCCTCCTACCTGCCCACAGTGTTAGGCATGGGAAGACAGTATCCACCTGGCGTGACTGAGGGCCTGTGAAAATGGTGTGCACTGCATTTCTGCTGCACAGGGCCATCTGGAGTGGTGTAAGACTCAGCACCACTCCCATGGGGAGGGAGAGTTTACCCGGCACAGAACAGCAGAGTCGCTCACCAGTAGGAAAGCTGCTGGGCTACGGGGAGCCTCCAGACCTCAATGACTGTAGCTGCACTGCAATGCGCGGTTCTCACCCACAGGCCCCAGCACACATACCTCTAAAGGCCTAAAGCTATGCACCTTCAGATCCTAATATCTCTAAACTTCCCAGCCCCCAGGATGAGCCCTCATGCTGATGCACAGAATTTGAATAATTTAGGGCCCAGCACCCTCGGGTGTCAGTTTCAGTTGCTCTGTTCCCATGGGCACTGCTGTGCCAGCCCTGCAATTAAGCTAATAAAACTGTCCATGGAAGAAGGGCTACTCCCCTGTGCCTCAGACCCCTTAGTGCTGATAGAGTGCTTGGCCCTGTTCTGAAAGCAGCAGGCTTGCTCCCTCAGAGGCCAGGTACGGGGAATGGATGCAGGGAGTGGAGGGGGGGGGCTGTAAAAGGAGAAGAAAAGAGAGTGGAAAGAAAGTCCAAAGGCAGAGGCCAAGATCATTACAGAGGAAGAAGCAAATTGAGACGGAGGTAATAGAAGTCACTGGGCACACAGACGGGCAGAAGCTGAGGCCAGAGAGGCTGGGAACAACAGAGGAAAACCGGCAGGTGCCAGGGCCCAGGTCTAGACTTAAGGGCAAGTACAAATAGGAGGCTGGAAGCAAGATCTCGATCTCTGGTTTCCAGGTACTGTACACATCGTCCCTGCCAGCTGGACCCGCTGTCCTACATCTGTCCTGAAAACCTGCCACCCTCTGACTGTGGTAAGGCCATGGGGACCAAGAGCCACCATCTTGGCCTGGGATTTCTGCTCCTTCTCTTTCTCCCTGCAGGTATGAACCAGCTCTCTTCTGACCCTGCTGCCCGTCCTGTCCACCCCAAACCTCCCCGTCTCCACCTTCCTCTTCAGTGTCTGCTAAGAACAAGCTATCTGGGGAATTCGAGGAGGGGGTGCTGAAAAGAAAGGAGACTTGCCTGATGAGATGGGGTGTTGGTAGTGGGCAGCAGCCATGTAAAAAGCCGGGTGTGGCACAAACACTTGTAACCCCAGTGCTGGAGAGACCTGAGTCAGGAGAATTGCTGAAAAACGGCAAGTCGCAAGTTCAGTGAGAGAGCTGCCGTCTCGAGAGAATTGGGTAGAAGTAGCAACCAGACATCCAGTCCCCTCCTTTGAATTCTATGCCCATCTGAGCAACACACACACACACACACACACATGTCACCGAAAACTTGTGAGGCCATGGAATCAGGCGCTAAGACTCCAGCTAGGGGTGGAGAGTGGAAACAGAGGCCCCTGAACTACAAAGGTGGACAATCCTCATTCATCCTCCAGAGTGCCTGGGAGCTGAGGGGAGACTGGCTCACAAGCTGTTCCGTGACCTGTTTGCCAACTATACCAGTGCCCTGAGACCTGTGGCAGACACGGACCAGACTCTAAACGTGACCCTGGAGGTGACACTGTCTCAGATCATCGATATGGTATAATGTGGTGGGGTAAAGCTGTGGGATGCCTGTGGATCAAAGGAAGGGCCGTCTCCTGCTTATCCTTTCCCTATGTGCTAATAATGATAATAGCCATTCATTCCTGTGTACCATTGGTGGCCCAAGACTTTACACACTGGAATTTACTCAACTCCCCCTCCCCAAGCAGGAATTATCTGATAGATTAACCGATGAAATGGAGACTTAAGAGCCCACCATAAGCACACAAGTTCAAGCCTGGAAGGGAATCGGGCTATTGGAGCAAGCTGGGTTTGTGGGTACTGACAGATCTGTGAGTGTGCATGAAGTAGGCATATATATACACATATATATGTATATATGTGTGTATATATATATGCACATCCATTGCCTGCCCTGCTAGGATGAGCGGAACCAAGTGCTGACTTTGTACCTGTGGATCCGGCAGGAGTGGACAGATGCCTATCTGCACTGGGACCCCAAAGCCTATGGTGACTTGGATGCAATCCGCATTCCCAGCAGCCTAGTGTGGCGACCAGACATCGTTCTCTATAACAAGTATTGCCTCCTGTCTGCCCTGCCCCTCAAGCACTGACTCTCTTCCCCGAACACCTAATAGAGTTTCTAAGATGCCTTGGAAACTTGCCCCTAAGGGACCCTCTAAGGAGCTCTTTGCCACTCCATGGCACTTTCAGTCATCTCTGCCAACTCAAGCTGGGTGTCTGTAAGGAATCTACTATGTGATCCAAGCCAGTTGTAGTTCTCAAAGAGAACTGTCTTGGGTCCAAGTGCTTCTCTGTGGCAACTCCACCCTTCCAGGTTCAGTGACCGCGGGAGACCTCACTGGCGAACGGCCTCGTCCTAGGGTTACTCCTTTATTCCATCTTTAGATGTTTTGCATTTCCCAGTCAATACATAGCATTGTGCATTTTTCTGGGTCCCTCTTATGAGTTTTACAGATGACTCCCTAGGCCAGATTGAGGCTCAGGTCCACCTCTGGGTTTTGCAGAGACTTTTTATACTCTGCTTCCGGCCTTTCCAAGCCCTTGGTTGCTGCCTCCTCTAGACCTTCAAAGATTGAAGTGAGCCTGATGAGGCTCACTCCACCGTGCTGCCCTGACCACTAAAGCCCAACTAGCGACAATAGTTCTTGGGCCCCGGTGACTCCTGTCCTGCCTCTCCACAGGGCAGACACGCAGCCACCAGCTTCGGCCAGCACCAACGTGGTTGTGCGGCATAACGGCGCGGTGCGCTGGGACGCACCGGCCATCACACGCAGCTCGTGCCGTGTGGATGTGTCTGCCTTCCCGTTCGACGCTCAGCGCTGCGGCCTGACCTTCGGCTCATGGACTCACGGCGGGCACCAGCTGGACGTGCGACCCCGAGGCGCGTCTGCCAGCCTGGCCGACTTCGTGGAGAACGTTGAGTGGCACGTGCTGGGCATGCCGGCGCGCAGGCGCGTGCTCACCTACGGCTGCTGCTCCGAGCCCTACCCGGATGTGACCTTCACTCTGCTGCTGCGCCGCCGAGCTGCTGCCTACGTGTGCAACCTGCTGCTGCCCTGTGTGTTCATCTCCCTGCTGGCGCCACTGGCCTTCCACCTGCCTGCTGACTCCGGGGAAAAGGTGTCTCTGGGCGTCACCGTGCTCCTGGCGCTCACCGTCTTCCAGCTGATCCTGGCTGAGAGCATGCCTCCCGCGGAGAGCGTTCCACTCATCGGTGAGCCTGACAGCGTTGGGGAATGGACACTGGGTCAGCAGAGTGACAGCTTGCAGGGACAGAGAGGGAGCAAGAGTAGACCTGTCTGAGAGAACACCCCTCGCCGCTAGGGGCGCGAGGGAGCCTTGACGGTGGAAGAACTCGCCCCCAGTGTCATTGTAAACTGTGGCGAGTGATAGCTGTGTGCCTGGCATGCTCCTGTGCACGTGACATTTTTCACTCGCAGGAGCATCACTATGAACCCATGAGTAACCAATAGGTTATTCCAGGTGTACGGAAAGGATCAGTATCTGTTCAGTTTACAACCATAATCTGACCCTGCAACAGGGAAATAATTAGGTAGCAGATAGCTTCAGAACCCTAGTAGATATGAGACATGGGGAGAACTTAACTCTTATCTACATCTTTCCCCTCTTTGGGTTTGAAGGCCAGATGCTGGCCTTCTTTCTCTTTATGATGAGGCAGCTGGAAAGCTCAACAGAGTTCACCTCCTCTTCGTGGCTCACAACGTTCTCTGCCCCACAGGGAAGTACTACATGGCCACCATGACCATGGTCACATTCTCCACAGCCCTCACCATCCTCATCATGAATCTGCATTACTGTGGCCCTAGTGCACACCCAGTGCCTGCCTGGGCTCGGATTCTCCTGCTGGGACACCTGGCCAGAGGCCTGTGTGTGCGGGAACGAGGGGAGCCTTGCAGGCAGTCCAAGTCACTGCGGTCAGCCCCCAGCCCCCAGCCTCCAGAAGGTCTCCCAGCAGGCCCTTGTAATGAGCCATGGTGTCTGTGCCATCAGGAAGCCCTTCTGCATCATGTGGCTTCCATTGCCAGCACCTTCCGCAGCCACCGGGCTGCCCAGCGCTGCCACGAAGACTGGAAGCGCCTGGCTCGGGTGATGGACCGCTTTTTCCTAGGCATCTTCTTCTGCATGGCTCTGGTCATGAGCCTCCTGGTTCTGGTCCAAGCCCTGTGAGGGCCAGGAACTGGATCTTAGGGAGCTTGGTCACCTCAACACCACCAGATAGGAATGACAAAACCTGGGTGGTTGTTGGTACTCAGAGTGCCGCTCAAAGTCAGGACCACCTCTCAGGACCAGCACTTCTGACCTGTGTGCCCTCACTGAGGGGATCCAAAGTCTCTTTCTCCCTTCCCTCCAATATGATTCAGGTCAAAGAGCAGACTTGGAAATAAGATTCAATGTCAGCTGAGCAAGATGGTGTACCCCTGTAATCCCAGCACATAGAGGCTGAGACAGGAGGATTTCCATGAATTCAAGGGCAACCTGAGCTTGAGAAAACTTTGTCTAAGAAATAAATAACCACCCATGTCCACACTTGGAATTATAGCTGTTAGCAGGGCAAATTCGGGTTATTTTTATTTTGTTGAGACAGAGTACCACTAGGTACCTCCTGCTGGCCTGAAGCTTGCTATGTAGCCCAGGCTGGCCTTGGATTCACTCTCCAAAGGCACTTGCTGGCACGTGCTACCACTCCCGGCTAGAGTGTAGACTACTTGCTAAGGGACAAAGGCACACATGCGCATGCCATCCTTAGCAGCTGCAGATGCTCACCCTGCTCATCTCTGCGAAGGCTCTAGGGGGTAGAAATTCATGGTCTGGTGTCCGCAAGGGAAGGCAATATAAACTTTTATTCCAGAGCTTCAATCCATAATAAATGAGAGTGTGCCCAGCACCTCCTCCGTGTCTCGTCTTCTCCTTGGGGCCACATCCAGAAGTTGGGGGTCCAGGTTTGTCTTTATAGATAGAAATCTTAGGACACACAGATCAATGCAAAAATTATATCTTTTTTAAAAATCATATTTGTGTGTGTGTTTGCTCTTGCACCAGGGTACATTTGTGGAGGTCAGAGAACAATGTGGGTAGTTGGTTCTCTCCCTCTGCCATATGGGACCCAGGGTTCAAACTCAAGTTGTCAGCTTTAGTAACAAGCACCCTTACTTGCTCAACCATCTTGCTAGCCAAGAAATTACTTTTCTGGTAACAACAGTAGCAAAAAAAAAAAAAAAAAGTGATTAGGATTTCACAGGACCCTGAGAGAGGGCCTAAAACTTTCTCTGTCATTCCCCTGCTGCCCCTCCTTATAGTTAGCCACAGCCACCTGTTCTCACCAGTGACGTTTAGAGAGCTCATCAGTAGCCCAGGTAGGTGGAGTGCAGGTGTCTCCACTCACAGGATTGGTTGCTTTCTTACCTTCACACAGCTTCTGGCACTTTTTTTGTGTCTTCTTCCCAGACCTTACCCATAAGAAACTCACAGCCTGAGGCCGGGTGGTGGTGGTACACACTTTTAATCCCAGCACTCGGGAGGCCGAGGCAGGCGGATCTCTGTGAGTTCGAGGCCAGCCTGGTCTATAAGAGCTAGTTCCAGGACAGGCTCCAAAGCCACAGAGAAACCCTGTCTCAAAAAAAAAAAAAAAAAAAAAAAAAAAAAAAAAAAAAAAAAAAAAAAGAAAGAAAGAAAGAAAAGAAAAGAAAAGGTAGCTCACAGCCTGACCTGGGAATACTCAGGGGCCAGCAAAAATAGAATAGAAAGGCCGGTACTCTAACCTAGCAGGAGGGTGAACAAGAACTTTCCAGGTAGACATGAGGGACATTTAAGTGACCCCTGCATGGCCCATGGCCAGGTATTCTCCCCCATCATCACCAACAAGGAGTTGATGTCTTCAGGTTCCAAATGAGTCTCTGCCTATCCTACCCTAGAGTCTTCTGACCTCAGTCCATCCTGCTCCTACCGCCTGAGCAAGGTTGTAGGAGCAAATCCTCTTCTGTGTCTCCACCGCCAATGCATCTGGAAGGTTATTGCCACAGAAGGCCCAGGCTTCCCTGCAGAGACTGATTCACCATGATCCTGATCAGGTAAAGTGCACAGGCAGGGCCGGTCAACATCTGGTACGTCACAGGAGGCCTGGGTTCTATGGATGGTCCCTCAGCACAAGGAATAAGAGCAGCAGCAGGAGAGAACAGGAGGCAGAGATGGAGCCTGGAGCTAAGGGAGGAGAAGAGAGGTTAGGAACAGTGCGAGGGCTGATGAGAGGCAGGGAGTCTGGCAGAGCGAGCTGGAAAGCAGCCAGAGGCAGGGGGTGAGAGACCAGTGAGGGCCACAGCTGGCTCTAGCCCCTGCCACTTGCTGTCACTGCGGAAGAGCCTCGAGACAGAGATCTGAGAGAGATCTGGTGATATTGCATCAAGGTTCATGTTGGAACCCCTCAGGGTTCAGAAGGATTGCTATAGCTGGCGGAAACTAGCTGAAGCTATCTGAGGGTAAATAAATGAGCTCCCCCAAGTCTTTTCATCATGCCTCATCCTCCCCATGCTCTCTTCAGCGCTCTCCTGATGCTTCTTGCTGTTGCTCGCTGTTCTGCATCCTACATGCTTTCCAGTTTATACACAGACAGTTAACAAGCATGCATTTCACCACATCACAACAACCAGATGGACCTGGCAAGGAGATGCCTTGGGCCTCAGAGGGGGCGTGGCTGCAAAGCTCTCCAGCTGATGCTGGGATGATTGATCAAGAATCAATACAAAGCCAGATGGTGGTGGCACAAACCTTTAATCCCAGCACTCGGGAGGCAGAGGCAGGTGGATCCCTGTGAGTTCTAGGCCAGCCTGGTCTACAAAAGCTAGTTCCAGGACAGGTTCCAAAGCTACAGAGAAACCCTGTCTTGAAAAAACAAAACAAAAAAAATCAATACAAAATTCTAAAAAGAAGTTTTCATGCACTGACTATATTTCTTTTGTTTGTTTTTGTTTTTTGAGACAGGGTTTCTCTGTAGCTTTAGAGCCTGGAACTCGCTCTGTAGATCAGGTTGGCCTCAAACTCACAGAGATCCACCTGCCTCTGCCTCCCGAGTGCTGGGATAAAAGGCGTGCGCCACCACCGCCCGGCCCCAACTATATTTCTTCTTCTTCTTCTTCTTCTTCTTTTTTTTTTTAAAGATTTATTTATTATGTATACAACTTTCTGCCTCCATTTATACCCACACACCAGAGGAGGGCGCCAGATCTCTTTACAGATGGTTTGGAGCCACCATGTGGTTGCTGGGAATTGAACTCAGGACCTCTAGAAGAGCAGACAGTGCTCTTACCCACTGAGCCATCTCTCCAGCCCCCAACTATATTTCTTAAATGTAAATAGTTAAGCTAGAAGTTTGTGACCAATAATTGTAGAAAATGTAACAGTGCTGTTACACCTTTGGAACACTAGCTTCCTTCCCTGGTGTCTGGGAACACAGTGGTGGTAACTATAGTAACCTGTGGGCCTGGGACAAAAGCAAAGAGTGCTTGATTTGCTTCAGGTCTAGCTAGCTGAGTTAAAGAGAATTTCTTTGGAAATTCGGCTTCCAGCTCCAGCAGAGTGCTTGCCATCACCCAGGTGAGAATTAATTTCTTTCTCTGAGGCTGATCCAGCAACTCAAGCCTTTTTCCTGTATCTCTAGGGTTAGAATAATAAACAATTAATTTCCTGGGCTATGATCTTATGTTACTTGAAACCAAGGTGAAGGGTAGATAAAGAATATTAATAACTTGTTAGGTTAGAGCAAAAGGCCGGGAGATTACACCTTCCTGAGTCTGCTGCTAGAGAATCCAGGGCCACCCAGACCTGTTTATGACTAAGGGCAGACTTTGTCTCTCTGCTTAGTGCCTCCTGCTCAGGGCTCCTTTCTTGTAAGTGAGTTCTGTCGATAAGGACAATTGTGGGGTCTAGCTTTATGTAGACTTTACTATTTGAACAAAGGTTTGAGAGAGTGAAGGCTCTCACCCCAGGGCCCCATAGTGTGGGAAAAGACATACAGTTGCCAGTACACAAAAAGTCAGGTTTAAAGAGTGGTTTATGGGATGGCTCAGTGATTAAGAGCACTGCCTGCTCTTCCAGAGGTTCTGAGTTCAATCCCCAGCAACCACATGGTGACTCACAACCATCTGTAATGAGAGCTGGTGCCCTCTTCTAGCCTGCAGACATACATGCAGACAGAACACTGTATACATAATAAATAAATTTAAAACAAAAACAAAACTAAAGAGTAATTTATACACTGCTGAGATATTCTGGGGTGAATCCCGTAATAGAAGGGAGAAACATCACAATTTCAGAAGATTTCTGCAGAATCGACAGTGACTATCCAAAGGACAGGCGTTCCCAAAGCTTTGTGAGTCGGGTTCTCCGAATGAAGCGTATACTCCCGTGGATTAGTCCAGCAGATCTGTCAGCTGTACATTTACTGTATAACACTTGTGGGCTCTCATCAGCGTTGAATCTGGCTCCCCATCCATGCCCTCGTCAGAAATGTGGGTAGAAATGTGGAGACAAAATGTCTAAACTTCTCCAGTGCCTCGGATGACGACCATCTGAGTGCAGAGGCCCACAAGAGACACGGTGGTCTGCTTGGCCGGCATTCTAGCACTCAGGAGGCTAAGGCAAGAGCTAAGGACTTAGGAGGCTGAGCCCATTTGAGGCCAGCCTGAACCACACATGAGTTCTAGGACAACCTGGGCTACAAAGCAAATTCCCCTGTCTCAAAAACTAAACAAGGTCTGGTTTGAAATTGGAGACCCAGCTTCTGGTTAAGTGTCTCTGGCCTCACTTTATGACATGAGGGTAGACGGCTATGTGGCAGAGGCTAGGGACCGTCATGGGGAGCAGTTCACAGTTCTGCAGCCAGGCTACAGTCATGATTCCTCACTAGCTGTGTGGCGAAGGACTGATTGCTACCTTTTGCCCTCTGTAGAAGTGACTAGCACTGGACAAGGTGGCACACGCCTTTAGTCCCAGCACCAAGGAGGCAGAGGCAGGTGGATCTCTGAGAGTTCCAGGCGAGCCTGGTCTACAAAGTCAGTTCCAGACAAGCCAGAGAAGCCCACTCTGAAAAATAACTAATAGTAAAGTGTACCAATGCCACTGAACTGTGCTGAGGATGCGTGGCATCAAGAGCCTGGCACTCCTGGTACTGTGACACCAGGGCAAGTGGAAGGAAGAGGCTGAGGAACTTCCCTGCCACGGGTTACAGACCCTAAAGGGAGGGAGTGTTGGGGGTGGAGTAGGAAGGATGGGGGGAAGATGGGAGAGGAGGTGGGGGGCAGTTAATTCTTCTTTGAAAGTGGCCTATTCCCACCTAAAAAAAGCAGTGGTCCGGGGGCTGGAGAGATGGCTCAGTAGTTAAGAGCATTGCCTGCTCTTCCAAAGGTTCTGAGTTCAATTCCCAGCAACCACATGGTGGCTCACAACCATCTGTAATAAGGTCTGGTGCTCTCTTATGGCCTGCAGACATACACACAGACAGAATATTGTATACACAATAAATAAATAAATAAATAAACTTAAAAAAAAAAAGCAGTGGTCCAAGTATACCCTTGCACAGCAAGAGAAGATTCACAGCTGAAAGAGATACAGGTATCTTTTGATCCTTCTTGCTTACTACAAACTAGGAAACTGAGGCACAGGGAAAGAACAGCTAAGTCAGAGCCCAAACTAGAGTACAGCACACAGCTTTCAATAGTTGGCTTTGACCTTGGAAAGCCGGTCTGAAGGAGCCCTGAGGACAGTAACAGGGAGAACAGTAGGGAACCGCCTCTCCTGAAACGGGGCCTGACCGTGGCCCTCCCCTGAGAGCACAGATGCACGTGTGCACACCCTCTGTGAGGGCGAGTGACTCCCCTCTTAGGTAACAAGGTGGGTTTGTCAGAGGAAAATGAGGGTCCAGCCCTGGGACAGCCTGCTCAGACAACTGCATCGCATCTCTTACCTGAGCTATCCAACCTGCAGGGCCCAGATCTGCACTTCTTTTCTGAAAGAAAGGATGGAGAATCAATGCTTCAGCAGCTCTCTGATCGGAAAGGACCCCAGAGTTCTGATGACCAACCTTGATTCTCTGTAACTGCTCCCTTGGGGAGGCCTCTCTAGGTAGCACTCTCTGAGGACAGAAGGGAGGCAGCCATGTAAGTCAGGGTGTCTTTCTGACCTCACCACACACTTTCCTTCACCCTGTCCCAGACAGGGAGGCACTGTTTGTGTTCTTGGCCTGCCTTCCTCATGGCTCACGATGCTGTTTAACGTAGGAACTGAGCCACACTGGGCCTCCTCCCATTTCCACCATGATCACTGTGAAGGCCAACTGTCTGCCTCTTAACCAAGAAAGCGAGGTCTCACTTAGCTAGGGGCAGTAGTCCAGAAAGCAGCAGGGGTTAAGGACAGGTCTCCTTGTTCCTCCTCTGGTGTGACAATGGCTCTGGAAGGAGGAGGAACAGCTGATGTGCTCCTGACCACAAGGCGGCGCCACATCCTCTGGCTGCTGGTTCCCCACCCTGCCCGGCACAGGCTACTGCATATAATTCCCATTCGATCTGGTAAAACCGCGCCTCTTAAAAACTGAGGCTGTGACTTTTACTCATTTTTTCCCCTTAAATTTTATTTATATTGGTGTGTGAGAGATGGGGGAGGGGTGCTTCCCAGGTATGTGAAAGTCAGAGACGGCCCTTGGAGCCAGTTCTCCCCTTCCATCTTCAGATGGGTTCTGGGGAATGAACTGAAGAAGTCAGGCTTGCAGGGCAAAACTCCTGTAGCGGCTGAGCCATCTCCATGTTCCCCTTTTACTTAGCTCTGCCTACAAATGCCGTGGTGCCAATACTGTGACTAGATTAATTCCTTTCCAGCTTCCAGCTGGGACAACAACCTGTCCGTCCCTTCAAAGGCCCAGGCCTCCTCTCCTCCATACCCGTACTGTAGTGTCTGTGTTCCCCTTGGCTGCCTAGGAGTCAGCCTGCTGAGCATTGTTATCACTGGTGCTTGAGCCTTTTATCATTTACGTATGAACTCCTTGACTGGGGTGGGAGTTGGGGTGTGGGTTTGCCAAAGCTCCTGGCAGATGTGGGAAGCCCGTCGTTTTTAGGACTGGCCTTGCGGGCTCCTCACCTTTGATGTATTCGCAGTTGTATGTGCTTCGTTTGCCCAGAGCGCGAAGATAGATGCGTGCGGGACCTTGGGCAGGTCGGCTGGAATTGATCACCTGGAAAGTCTCAAAAGGGGGAATCAGCACCTCCTCCTCGCCAGGGAAAAAGGAGTAACCCCCAATCGGGGCCCCGAGGCAGGTCCAGATACCAAAGAAGGTGTCCTCGCCAAATTGCTGGGCGGCAACGTTCTTGAGGGACGCAGAAGCAAAGCCTCCCAGCCTGACGGTGGCGCCTGGCCCGGCTGGCCGGAAGTGCAGGCCATGCACCCCCCTGTACACCTGCCGGCACCCACGAGATCGCTGGCTCCCGAGCAGCTGCAGGGCCTCGGTGAGCAGGAAGTGGAGGGTCTTGAAGGAGAAGTGGTGGAGGTAGTGGGCCCGGGAGCGGCCGGCCTCGCGCACAGCCGCGTTGAACTCCTTGTGCAGGGGGCTGTTGGCAGTGTAGGCCAGGAGCGCCACTCCGTGCTCATCCCTGAAGCCCGGGGGTGGTGGAGGAAAAATGGTTGGGCTGAGGTCCCAAGCTGACTCCCAGGCCCTGCGCTCCTGCCACTGGGTGTTGGCCAGAGCCCAACCATTCGCATACACTTTGTTGGTCTGGAACTCTGAGTGGTTGAGGTCAGCCAGAGCCGCTATCATGTCTGCTGCACAGCCAACATATTGGTCATCAAAGGACGCTGGGGCCATGTCCAGGGGTGTTTCTTGAGAAAAGATGTCTAGTTGTGTCATGGAGTGACTTTGAACCTGAGGGTAGGAGAGCACCAAGGACTGAGAGGGTGGTCCCTAGGGAAATGGGAACCCTGTCATCCAGCTTTGCCCTGCTCTAAGGGCCTGTCTACTGAGAAAACCAGAAAGAACCCCCAGAGAGGAAGGAGACTGGGGACCACCAGCTGCGAGCTCTCCAAGACTAGGTTTTCAGGAGTCTCTAGGAGGACAGCCAGCTTCCCCGGGAGCACTGGGCATTCTCCCCTCTGTTCTTCCCAGGGTTAGATAGGCCAGCAGCTCCGTGGAGGGTGCTCATACCTGAAGTCCATCCCTGAGGCCCACAGACACCAGGAAGAGAGACATCATGGCTGGAATCTTCATGTTGGAGGTGACCTGGGCAAGCTGCTGTCTCTTTTTCCTCATCTGGAAAAGTGGCGTGTCAATTGAACATTACCAGCTCTGGCACCCCCAGAGGTGGTCACACCGACCCACCGTGGCTCTCAGAAGGAACAGCAAACGCTGCAGCTGCATGGCCTGTTGTCCCTTTTCCGTCTGTCTATGTTTGTTTGCTTTAAACAGGGTTTCATATACCCATGCTGACCTGGAACTGGTCACTGAGCCAGATGCCCTTCCAGATGCCCTTCAATCTTTGACCCTCCTGCTTCCACTTCTTCAATGCAGGCATAGTGGACATGGACTCCCTGCTTATCTTATTGCAGGGTAAGACAGATGTGTTTTCTTACAGAGTAACGCTGGCGTAGGAAGGGCAGTGTATGGATCATAAAGTCCCCTTCCTCCCTCTCTCTGCTCACCCAGTCCAGCTCACACGTTCCTGCTCATGGGAAGGAGAGGCCAGCAATCATGTGTCTCTCAGTGCCTTTCTCAGGAAATATTTTTTTTTTTTTTTTTGGTTTCTGTGGGTTTTTTTGTTTGTTTGTTTTTGTTTTTGTTTTTTGTTTTTTTCGAGACAGGGTTTCTCTGTAGCTTTGGTGCCTGTCCCGGAACTAGCTCTTGTAGATCGGGCTGGCCTCAAACTCCCAGGGATCCGCCTGCCTCTGCCTCCTGAGTGCTGGGGTTAAAGGCGTGCGCCACCACACAGAGGTGGAATATATTTTATATTAATAGGCCTTGCCAAACTATGATTCAGAAAGGAACCAGTTTGCCCTCCCACCACTTAAGGGACGCGTCTTCGTCAGTGCTATCAATGATTGCTTTGCTAAATTGCTTTGTTCTGGATTGCATCTGTTGGTTGTTGGTTTTGCTTTTTGAGACAGGGTCTCCTATAACCTAGACTGGCCTCAAAATTGCTGAGTAACTGAGAAGGCCTCCACCTTCTGAGAGCTGAGATGACAGGCATACCCCATGCCTGGCCTACTGGCTTTTTAACTTTCATTTGAGTGGTCTGGAAATGTGTGTCTGCTGTGTGGCCACCTGAGAGCTTTCTTTTGTACTTTATTGTCATCTGTCCTACAGTGCCTGGCACAGTTGGAAGACAGAAGCAGGTGTGTTTAAGAGAAAAGGTGGACCTGGTGGCACAATCTGTATTGCCAGCATTTAAGAAACTGAGGCAGGAGGATGGTGGGTCAAAGGCTGTCCTGAGACTCCATGAGGCATTATCTCAAAAACAAAAATATTTATTTATTTTTTATTTTTATTTTTTGAATTTTTGAGACAGGGTTTCTCTCTAGTTTTTGGTGCCTGTTCTGGAACTAGCTCTTGTAGACCAGGCTGGCCTCAAACTCACGGAGATCCTCCTGCCTCTGCCTCCATATTAAAGGCATGCGCCACCACCGCCTGGCTCAAAAACAAAAATAAAACAAACCCCCAGAAGAGTAATTTGTATCATTGATGTTGAAGTCCGGGAGAAATGAGCTCCCAGGGAGGATGGGTTGGAGAAACCAAGAGAAGCTGGGAAGTGAACCTTGGTTTAGGAAGAGCCAGGCTCTGAGGTTTCATGAGGTTCTTTGCTTCCAGCCCTCAGGCTCAGTGTGAACCCTGGAACCCTTTGATATCACCCTTTAGGCTTAATCCAGCTTTGGGTAGCTCCTTGTGTGCCTGCCAGCAGAAGACACTCATGTGGTACCCTATCACCATTAGCACCCAGCCTCTCTGGCTGGTCACGTGGGTATCCATATATGGCTGCAGTTGCCTCCCATTTTTGTCGGGGCCCACATCCCTGCTCTGCTTGCTTTCGGCTGTCTCCTGTCACTTTACCAGTGCACTCAGCACGGAGCAGTGACAGCAAAGCCCAGGCCTGCCTACTACCTCTGCCTGTTGGAAGCCCTGTGTGGGAGTGGGGAGAGGGCTGAGTACTTAAAAAGACAGACTGCTCTTACAGAGGGCATCAGTTCAGTTTCCAGCACCCACAACGGGGTGGCTCATGACGGCCTGGAACTCTGGCTGTAGGAGGATCTGATGCTTCCGGACTTGGTGGGTATCTGCTCTCAGGAGCACATACCTACATACAGACACACAAATATATGCATAAATAAAAATATGCACAAAATATGCATAATTAAAAATAAAAAACTAAAAAAGCTTCGGTGCCAAAACTGACTGGAAGAAATATCTCAAAGTACCAAGAAAAAGGATTATGAGAGAAAAGCTCATAACATATCCTTTTCTTTGTGGTTGTTTTGTGCTGTCCTAGAACTCACTCGTTAGACCAGGCTGGCCCCAGACTCACAGATTCACCTCTTTCTGCCACCACTGCCCAGTCATTTTTTTAAACCAAAGGGAAAAAAAAAAAGCTGAGCGGACTCAGCATAATATGGTTCCCAATGCCTTCTAGAAGCCAAGCACAATAGCCCATGCCTGAAATCCCGGTTCTTAGGAGGGAGGGTCAGGAGCTGAAGGCCTCCAATGTGAGTTTCAGCCCACATTGGAATACCCAAGATCCTGCCTCAAAACAAAGCAGCAAAATGAAGGAAAACATCCCTCTATGCCTTCAGGACAGTCCAACCTTATTCTAGTTTTTGATCTGCTCAGTGACCTTGCCCCTAAGAACTTTCTAGTCCCTTCTCGGCTTCTATAGTCCAGGAACCTAGGCAGAACAAAGTTCCAGGGAGACACAACTGTCTCCCCTGCCCTCAGCTATGCTCTGACCACCCACTCTTCCAGGGTTAACTCAGGGTTCCCCTTTTTCAGAAAGCTCCCAGAATGCTCTGGGTAGTCCTCTCCTGAGCCTATCCCTCCCCCCAACCCCTGCCCTGTGCAGGCACAAGCAATAGCCCCTGCCTTATCCAGAAGGCTCATCCCAGAACCAGGCAGTCTGCTTGCAGATTGCTTGTCTTGTTAAGGAGGGAAAATCTACATAAACATCAGAGCCTCACGTGGACCTGCAGATGCCGGCCGGGTGGCTGGGCTGACTGGGAAAGGCTGGCGTTAGTCTTCCCCTTCGGGGCAGGTTCTGTCGCAGTGAAGGCACATGTGTCTGCCCTCCACACTCAGAAGTTACATAGCAGCTTCACTGTAGCCTCGGGTCCCACAGCTTCAGCTACTGTGCCCTCCATGACCCCAGTCAGCCATCCTGGACGATCAGTGGAAGCCTACCTCTTCCCTTATAAGGACACCAGCAGCACCCTGTTTGTCAGTGCTGGCTCCCTGCATTCACCAGCGCTTGCCTGTGCCCACCACATCCTCATGTCTACAGTTGGCTCTATTTTATTTCTATTCTATCTGTGATGGAAGGCCTCCAAGTCTCTGGTAGACAAGCCCAAGGGTCTTTCTGAGCATTGCTAACAAGACAGAGCACCTCAGAGGAAGTAGATTGCTGCCCTTGGTGACAAGTGTGGGGGACCAGGGGAGCACAGCAGGAATTGCTGTGGTACACTGGGAATTCCCTCTCCCTGTTTTTTTTTTTTTTTTTTTTTTTTTTTTGAAACAAGATCTTGTTTGGTAGCCCAGGTTGCCCTCTAACTTAGTCTCTGGCATGAGAGAGCTGAATACGGCTTAGAAATCCCTTTTCACAGTTGAGGGAGCTGCACTTCCCTGTGTCCCACCGTCCTCAGTTTCCCTCTTCCTCACTCAGCAGTTCCTTTTGGGACTATGGCCCCAAGTCACTTCTTAAAATCACAAACCTTCCTAGGTGTCCTCAACCATTCCATCCAAAGGTCCCTAAAACTTCACCAATCCCTCCTAAGTTTATTATCAAAAAGTTCCTTCCCTGCTCCCTCTGCGGGAAGTGAGTTGTCCCTTACCTAGCCTTCTCCATGGCGGGCAAAGCGGGCCTGGTCTCCTGCGACAGAGAGGCAGGGAGGTGGCTTTCTCTTTATACCTTCTGTTCCCTGCCCCTCCTGCTTCCCCCACAGAGCTGCTCAGAAATGCGATACTCCCTGTCTATTTCAAGCTGTCTCCTCAAGGCTCAGGAACACTAGCCTCTGCCCAGTGTGACCTGGGCCAACATTCTTCCCATGACAATGAGAGCTACTGGGGGTGCTGAGGGGACAGACAGCAGCCGCCTTGCCAGACTGTACTCTGGTCAGTTAAAAGGCACCCCTGACTCCTGGTATCTCCTTTTATTTTTTCTATTATTATTATTGCTTTCTTTTTACAATGTCCAGGCTTGCCTCGAACTTGAAGCCATCCTTTTACCTCCGCCTCCCGCCTGAATGCTGGGATTATAGGCACATACAACCGTCTCAAGATTTGTTCTGTTCCAAGAGCCTAGGTTCCACTGGACCGCTGACCCACCATGTGACCTGGGAGGCCTTTCTGCCTCTCTCAGGATCCCTGGCTCTTTATCAGATTTGACTCCACTTCTTGGGGCTTTGTAGGGGCTGCAGATGTTGGGGTGTAAGAAATTGTCACTGCACAGCCTTTGCTGTCCCTCCAGGACAGGGAGGATGGGGTAGGTAGGCAAGGATCAGCTCTTCCACGGCATGGACACAGTCATCAGGAAGGAATGGAGGGGGACAGGCTTTGAAGTAAAGGAAACTTTATTTGGCAGAGAAGGGTTGGTGACTCTTGGCAGGTTGCACAGGTCATGCTTACCCTGGCCCCAGCAGGTGGCATCTCTAAGTCCTCCATCTTCCCATAAACTGGCCCGGTCTCCCATTACCTCCAATTACCTCCAACTGGGCGGCTGAAACTCAGAACTAGGTTATTTATAGTCAAGCTCAGCAGAGGTGCGGAGGTGCAAGAGACAGCTGTGTTTACAAACATGGGGTCACCTGAACCGGAGAGGTCCAGAAGGTAGCTAGGGTACCCTTCCCTTCCCTCCAGACCAGGGTTGGGAGATAGAGGGTTAAGAGTAGAGAAGAAAGTGGGGATGGGGGCTTTGATGCTGGTGCACGTGACCCAACGTGTGTGTCACATGCAAATTGTATGCAAATAAGAGATTTGGTGGCTTAACTATCATGATGTTTAAGTAGCGACCCTCGTGGGCCTTCGTGGCCTGGTGGTCCTGGGTCCTGGCCCTGGCCCGGTCCCAGGGCCACCGGAGAAAAGGCCAGGTCTCACAAGTCCCTCCTCCAACCTTGACCTAGCTCACATCTTACAGAAACAACCTGTTATCCAAGGAGGGAAGGAAAGTTTTGCCCCTCAACCACTCAAGGGCTCTGCCAGACCAGCTCCCCACGCCCCTGTCTGTTGTTGGGGAAGATAAGTGTCGGGTTACCAGTCCAGGGGCTATAGTTAGCTTCAGGGACGTTGTTCAGCAGACCGGGATCTGCGCAGAGCCTGCACCAACTTCAGCCCTAGCCTGCCGCAAAAGACCAGAGCCCGGGCCTTTCTAGGCCTTCGCCACCTCCAGGTGGGTTCTCGTCCCCGCTCCGCCCCTCTCCAGGCGGAGCCACATAACTGCCCCACCTATACCACTGCAAGAAGTCCTGGACAGCCTGAGTGTGGGGACATCGGGTAGTTATAGATTAGGGCTTGAAATGGGGACACTAAAATCCAAATCCCTCCCCACCCTTAGATTTGTCTTTGGCCCCGCCCCACATCACTCCTGAGGACCCTCGGGTGCGGGAGGAAGGTCCTGGAGCCCAACTAAGCCGGCACTCCACCGCTGCTGGCTTCATCATCATCCGGATCCTGCCATCCCGGGACTCCTCTCAGGATGATTCTGGAGGATCTGTTGATGGTCCTCAGTTGCCTCAGCCTGCACTCCCTCTGGAAGGTAACTCTTGGGACTATCCTTTGCCGACAAGGGTCAGTTGTGGGTCAGATGCTGAGAGGTGGTGGTAGAGAACCGGTCAAGGAGACCTCCTAGGAGACTTTTTGCTGCTTCCAGTCCTCCTCTGGGGAACTTCTGTTCCTTTCGGGAGCCCAAGTGCTGATCTCTCTCCCAGAACTCCACCTCCCTGTTGCCTTCAGCTTTCTCTTTCCCACTTCCTCTTACCTCACACCACAGGCTTAGCATGGGCAAACGGCTGCACGGACCAATGTGCTGCTGTAGGCCCTGGCAGACCCTGACAACCAGGCCACCACCCCAGCCCACCTTGAGATTAGAATAACGTCTTCTAAAGCTGGAGAGCATCCAGATCTCAGAGCTGGCAGCAAGGTTTCCCCAAGGGGAGGAAACAGCTGAGGAGGATGGGGACCAGGACAGGGATCAGATACTGGCTGCAGTTTATTGCCTGCAAACGATCAGAGCCGGGAAAACACAGGGACCAACCAGACTGCCCTCTGAAAAGATGAGATGGTGCTGTTTAGGTGGTGCCACGGTGGTCTCTAAGCTCTTCTCACAGTAATGCTGGAGGCTGGAAGTACCCGTAATTCATAGGAGAAGGTGAAGTCTAGGAAAACCCTGTCCTGAGAATCGCCCGAGATCCCAAAGCTAGCCAAGCAGGTAATGTTTAAATTCATATCTGGCTAGCAGTGGAGACACACGCCTTTAATCCCAGCACTCAGAGAGGCAGAGGCAGGCGGATCTCTGTGAGTTCCAGGACAGCCAGAGATACACAGAAAAACCCTGTCTCGGGGCGGGTACTAAATTCACGTCTGGCTGGCTCCACTGCCTGTGTTATTTCTGCCACTTAGGATCTTGTCGATTATGCGTCAGATGGTTAGACATAGAAATGATAACCTGGGATTCTGAACTGATCTAGGACCCCGGCCAGCGTTCTAGTTACCCTCTTCCTATGTGGAGTCTCCTTCTGGGTGTCCACAGGTCCAAGCTGTTCCTATCCTGCCCCTGAGCCTGGTTCCAGACACGTTCGATGATGCTTATGTGGGCTGCTCTGGGGAGATGGAGGAGAGAGCAGGCCTGCTGCTGGAGGAAGAGATGGCACACCACGCCCTGCTCCGGGAATCCTGGGAAGCAGCCCGAGAGGCCTGGGCACACCGGCGCCACACGCTCACCCTACCGCCTGGCTTCAAAGCCCAGCATGGAATAGCTGTTATGGTGTACACCAACTCATCCAACACCTTGTACTGGGAGCTGAACCAGGCTGTGCGGACAGGGGGTGGCTCCCGGGACCTCTACATGAGGCGCTTCCCCTTCAAGGCCCTGCATTTCTACCTCACCCAGGCCCTGCAGCTGCTGCGGGGCTCTGGCGGCTGCAGTAGGGGAGATGGGGAGGTGGTATTCCGAGGCGTGGGCAGCCTTCACTTTGAGCCCAAGAGGCTGGGGGACTTGGTCCGATTAGGACAGTTTGCCTCCAGCTCTCTGGATGAAGCCGTGGCTCGTGGGTTTGGGAATGCCACTTTCTTCAATCTAAGGACTTGTTTTGGGGCTCTTATCCAGGCTTTGTCTGTCTTCCCCGAGGAGCGTGAGGTGCTGATACCCCCACATGAAGTCTTCTTGGTCACTGGGTTCTTCCAGGATGGAGCCCAGAGCGTGGTGACTCTCTGGAGTTATAATCAGACCTGCAGCCACTTTAACTGCGCCTATTTGGGTGGTGAGCGATGCATGGGAGACAGAGAATGGCAGGGGAGGATGAAAGAAGCCAGCATGTGCTGACCTAGTACTGAGAGCCTTGTTAGACTGAGGTTCTGCCAGGTCCTGGGAGAGTTTCAAGATGTGTGGACATTCTCAGTCTTCTCAATAGGGTGGATCTGTGGTACACGGTAGATTAGGAAGTGAGTGAAGGAGGCCAGTATTGCCCCCAGTCTGAGGAGGCCCTGGTTTGATGGGGTGAGCAGGACTATGCCAAGTCCAGCTGGGAGGCAGGAATGGAGTGGAGAGTGATGGGAGGGTGGGCGGAGGAAGGATGGATTGGCTGAAAGGGGGTGAGTAGCTGCTTTGAGGTGAAGGAAAAGACAGGCTGAAGGGGGTGGCCACAGGCAAGCCACCTGGGGTGTGGGTGGCCCCAGGGCCTCACTCAGCTGTCTGTTGCAGGGGAGAAGAGGCATGCCTGTGTGTCCTCTGCAGGTAAGTCATCCTCGGGGCTGCTGTGAGCTGCTCCTGCTTCCCAGCCATGCTGCCCACCTCACCTTCCTTTCTTTCTCTAGCAGAAGGGCAGCCAGAGTTATCCTCCACAGAGGCCTTGGCTTTGCAATCGGGGAAGACGCTGCTCTTGGCCCCTGGGGAGTTGCAGCTCTTGAGCGCTGGTCCCTGAAAGTCTCTTGGGAATCCTGGGAACTGATGACCTTTCTATGAAGAAGAGGCTTTGAGTGGCCTCAAGATGCCAGAGTGTGCCTGGTCTACAGAGCTAGTTCCAGGACAGGCTCCAAAAACCACAGAGAAACCCTGTCCTGAAAAACAAAAACAACAACAACAACAAAAGATGCCAGAGTGTGGATCTGGTCCTGGTCCTAGGGGCCACTTCTCCAATCAGGGTTGGAGACCCGAGGCCATGGCAAGGCTGAGGGAACCCCACTTCCTAGGACGTGCGAGGTCAAGACTGGATGGCTACTCAATTAAACAGAGCTGTGGTATACTCGTGGGCTTTTATGACTGGTTTATTTCATGAGACCATTTGTCCTTGGCAGACTTGAAAGTCAGGGATTGAAAACTAACTTTCTTATCCTCCTAGTCACAGACTTTAACCTCTGAACCTGGAGCTTTTTAACACAGGAGGGCTCACAGCTGCCTTTAAGGCAGAATACATGGACTCCCAGACTTCCCCATTCCCAGCACCCGCCCGCTCTCAGGCCTCCCAACACTCAGGTCTCCTGTTTCCCTGGTCTCTCATCTCCCAGGCCTCCAGCCTCCTAGGCCAGAACTCTTCACTAAATACCTAAGGAATTCCAAAGCAGGATTCTAAACCACAGCTCCCAAAGCAAGCTGTTTCTCTCTGCCCTTCTCACATAAGGTCCGTTTTAGGGGAAAGGAAAAGAAGAATCTTAGGACATCAAGAGATGGTGACTGTTACCTGACTTACACAGCAGAAAGTTTACCAAGGCAAAGAAACACCATGGTCTTCTGTTACAAGACCCATGCCTACTCAGCAAGGCTGCTACATTCGGTGACAGAAGAGACCCTGCTGTTGTATTAGGACTCGCCCTTGGTCTCCAGACCTTCCTCCAGGGGCAGGTCCCCTGCCCCCTCTGCTTCTTGTTCCCTGTGCACCAACACGTGAGCAGGGGAGGCGTGGCTGGACTCTCCCGATGCTGGAGTCTCCTCCTCTCCTATAGCATCAAGACCAGCTCCTAAAGAGACTTCAGTTTCCACAATCCCTGGCATGGTCAGCTCTGCTGGGGTCTCAGGGGTGGGGGGACCCAGATTCTGGAAGCTGTTGCGCACGCGGGTGATGTAGCGACTGAGGATGCTGGCACCATCCGGAGGCCGTGGTGCCCCACCAGCTGCCAGAGTCTTCTGCACACTGACCACCTCGCTTTGCAGTCGAGACACAGTCTTGGTGAGCTCTGTCAGTCTGGTGCCCAGGTCTGAGATGGGTGGGGGCAGGGAGGTCTTTCAGAAGGTGAGCCTATCAGCACCTCTTCTGTCTACCCTACCCCACCCTACTGAACCTGGGACACCCTGTCTGGATCCTAAGGGAGGACTGTAAGACCTGAAGGGTCAGGAGGGTAGAAAAGCTGTGGGAACGATGGAAGGACAGAGACAAAGGAGGAAAGCCTTAGCTGGGCTGGCATCCGCCTAGTTGGGAGATGGAGGAAAGATGGAAGGGCAGAGGCAGGCGGATCTCTGTGAGTTCGAGGCCAGCCTGGTCTAGAGCTAGTTCCAGGACAGGAACCAAAAAGCTACAGAGAAACCCTGTCTTGAAAATCAAAAAACAAACAAACAAACAAAAAAAAAAACAGTCTGGGAAACCAGGAAGGGAAGGGAGGAGGAAAGGAGGAGAAAGGAAGGGGGACAGGGAGGCGGGGAGGCAGAGAGGGAGGATGGGAAAGGGGGAAGGGGGAGAGGGAATATATGAGCACACGTGGGTTGAATGAGGGAATGAGTCTATAACCACCTGTAAACAAAGGCAGAGTAACTGAGTCAAGAAGTTAGCGGGCAGATAGGACAGGAGCGACCCCTAAGGTAACTGAGTGAGGGGGGTGCATCTGGGTGTGAGGCACTCTTCCCAGGAAAGGCAGAAACAGCGATGGGGAAGGGTTAGAGGTGGGCAAGTGACCTTTTCTGCGGGTCTCCTCGAACTCCCGCCGGGCAGTCTCGATATAGCGCTGCACCAGAGCCTTGATGACGCGAAGGCGGTAAGACCCGCGCTCACGCTCCCCTTCTCCGGGCCCTTCCCTTGCCCCAGGGTTGGTCTGCAATGGAAGATGAGTGAATTCTCCACCTTCCTTCAACCTCTCTCTTGACCAAGAATAAAAGAGAAAGGCAAAGTCCCTGGTCTGTCTCCTACAGAGCAGTCCCAGAGGACAAACGGAAGCCATGTAGGGAAAATAGACTGAGTGGACAGGGTGTCAGGAGTGTGTGGTGAAGGCTGAGAGTTGGGAGTGGCGTGGGAAGGAAAGACCCCCGCAGAACTGGCAGTAATAGTCCAAAACAGATAAGTTCTCATGCTCAGACAGGCAGGCTCTGTGAACCTCTCATTCCTCAGGAGGCTTTTCCCGTTTAAATCACCCAAGCATGTCTTAAAATCTGGTTGTCTGGGACTTGGGATGGGGGTGGCATGGACTGCAGGCTGTGTGACTGGAAATGTTGGACTCAGTCAGAACTAGGAAGATGAACATGGAGGCCAGAGAATGGGAATTGGGAGCAGGCTCTCTGGGGACATACGACGGCTTAGGTAACACAGGCAAGGAAACAACAGGCTGAGAAGGAACCCACAGAGCCGGGCGGTGGTGGGCGCACACCTTTAATCCCAGCACTTGGGAGGCAGAGGCAGGCGGATCTCTGTGAGTTTGAGACCAGCCTGGTCTACAAGAGCTAGTTCCGGGACAGGCTCCAAAACCACAGAGAAACCCTGTCTCGAAAAACCAAAAAAAAAAAAAAAAAAAAAAAAGGAACCCACAGAGGCGGGGATGGCGGGGTAACTAACAACAGGCTGAGAAGGTACTCACAAAGGTAGGGATGGCGGGGTAGTCCGAATTTTTGGCTTTGCAGCAGGAGGAGCAACAGCAAACGAACCAGAAAATTCTCCTGAGAATTACCATGGTGAAAAGAAGTGAGCAGGGGCAAAGCCTGGGAAAGCGGGGCAGGAGCTTGGTGGGGCCTCACCTGACGAGGTAGAAGGCAGCCTTCGGGGAGGGCAGGATGTTGAAGGGCACAGGCAGCGTCAAGCCCTCTCGGAAGTAGGACAGGTAGAGCTTGGAGCGAGCGAACTTCCACTCCACATCAGCGTCATCCTGGGGACCACGAGGCGGGAGGCTATGCAGGGACCACGCTGGCACTGGCCCCTCGCTCGCTCACTCTGCCTCTCTTTCGTCTTCCCATCTTAGTCTCCAGCATGCCGACCGTTTTCTTCTCATCCTTATTTCTACCCCCTTCGATCACCCCATTTCCTGGAACTTCTCCCCCTTTCCTGTTCTCTTCCTCTAATTTCCAGTTGCTGCTCAGTCTGTTCTCCAGCCTGCAAACCCAGTCTGCCCACTTACTTCTTGTGTTCCCACTTTCTTTTCTACAACGCCTCCAAACCACCACCTCCACCACCACCACCTCTACCACCACCACCTCTACCACCACCACCTCCACCTCCTCCACCACCACCACCTCCACCACCTCCACCACCATCACCACCTCCACCACCACCACTATCACCACGTCTACCAACACCACCATCACCTGTACCACTACCTCCACCACCACCACCAACAAGAAAAAGAAGAAAGAGCACTGGGCTTGGTGCCTGGAGACAACAGCGGCAGCACCGAGACCCTTGTCACACAGAGGAACCGACAGTGCTCCCTGTCCTTGTGTCTCCTCCTGGCCAGGCTGGCTCGGACCCCTACCTCGATTTTCTGGAAGGAGTTGGTGATCATGGCAATGAGCATGTTGAGCAGTACGATGACCATGACGATGGTAAAGATGCCGTACAGGGCGCGGCCCACGAACTCAGGCACCAGGAACTGAGGCATGTCCACCACATTGTGTTCCTCCATGCCAAACATGGTCCAGAATAGAAACTGGAACGTTTCATTGAAACTGGCAGGGTGGGGCCAAGCAAAGGAGAGAAACATGGTGGTAGGGTTGGGAGAGAAGCCAGGCACACTCCTGCCCCTGAAGACTTAGCCAAAGGTGTCTGTGTCCACGAAGCCTTTTGAGCCACCCGTGTGGATACAAACATTTATCCTTCCTTTCTTTCTTTCTTTCTTTCTTTCTTTCTTTCTTTCTTTCTCTCTCTCTCTCTCTCTCTTTCTTTCTTTCTTCCTTTCTTTCCTTTTCTTTCCTTTTCATTTCTTTTCTTTTGTGATAGGATTTCTCTGTGTAACAGCCCTGGCTGTTCTTGAACTAGCTCTGTAGACCAGGCTGGCCTTGAACTTACAGAGGTTCACCTGTCTCTGCCTCCCAAGTGCTGGAATTAAAGGTGTGCGCCACCACTGTCTGGCTTGATATTTGCCATTTCTTAGCAGTAATCCTTATTTAAAAATGTTTTATTTTTGGTATGTATATTTTATATATGTATATATGTGTGTATGTACACACAGATATGCATATATGTGCATGTGTGAGATATGTACTGTTTGTATGCAAGAGCCCACAGAGGTCAGGAGCAGTGAAATCCTGGAGCTGGAGTTAGACAGTCCTCTGCAAGAGCAGGAAGGTCCTTAGCGTTGCAGCCCCTCTCCAGCGCCTGGCCAGCCAGTATTACTGAACAAACAGTAGTGATGGGTACTAAGGACACAGTGGTGTATAGAAGCAGAACCCTGTCTTCACTGCCCTTGTGTTCTAGGGAGGCTGAGTGTGAGATGTGGAGAAGAGAGAACGGCTTGGGAGGGGCTGTTAGAAACCACACAGATACAGGGCCTTACAGAAAAGAGCTAAAGACTCAGCCATGGCCTTCCAACAGCAGAAGCCCATGAAGAGCTCCAGACAGAGGGGGCAGCTGAATTACATTTGGGAAGATCTTGTTGGCTGCTGCAACTGCAAGGCAGGCAGATAAAAGAGGAAGACATGAAGAAAATGTCTTGGTCCGGGTGGGAAAGGATTGTGGTGTGGAACACAGGCGGCACTCCATGCCCAGCACCTGTCTGTTGTCACGCTGCCCTCCATGTGGCACCAAGGGTCTCCCGTATCCAAGGCTGGCTCAAGGTCATTTTATAGCCAAAGATGACATTGAACTTCTGATGCTCTTGCTGCAGGTTCCCAGTTGCTGGGATCACAGTGTGTGCCACCATGCCCAATTATATAGTGCTAGATCAA